GGCGGCGGCGGTGGGGGCGGCGGCGGTGATGGCGGCGGCCGCTGTGTTGGAAACAATGGTTTAATGAAGAAGAAGGCGAGGCTGGTGGTGGTGAAGATGGGGACTCTAAGTATGATGCTGACCATGCTGATGAAGAACAAGGAGATGGTGATGCTGAGGAGGATGAGGCGGAGGAGGAGGAGGAGGAGACCCATGATTGCTTTGATGACCTCGACAATGTCAAAGACAGACGAGGAGAATGATGACAAGCATAAGGACGGTTACCTGCAGCTGAGGATGATGAAGATCATGAAGCAAATCATTCTGATTATGACGGAGATGAACACCAACATGATGGTCCTGGTCCTAGTGGGTCCTAGTGCTTGTTGTGTTGCTGGGTGCTGAGCAGACTTACTTTCATGCGGCTCTGGTGGTGCTCAAGTTGGCTGAGCACCGGCAACTCCACGGAGATTGTAAACAGCGACGCATTCTCGTCTCCTACCTGCCAAACTACAGACAGGAGCGCTGATGCGCAGGCAGGTGTTGCACCAAGGAGCGACTCAGCACGAAAGACAGCATGCCAAGACCAAATGCAAATCTCTACAAAGCTTGCCTTCCGGTCCGCGCTTGGTCTTCGCAAGCTGCTTCCGGCGCTTGCTGCTTGCTTTGTCGGGCTCGGGCAAACAAGGTAGAATGACATGATGACATAGAGCCGAAGCTCCAGGTAAGGAAAGCCCATGGTTCATGGTCGCAAAAAGCCATGAGAGCAAGTCTCAGCGAGCAACACCCCCGTTCTCTACGAGGCATTGCCAGGCTTTAGCTATCGGTAACCCCAATAGCACCCTGCAACTGCCTGCACCCTGGCTCGGGCCACGAAGCAGACTTTTGGCTGCATCGCACCAAGCACCGGGAAGACAGCAGATACCAACCTCTAAGATTCAGGGATTATATAAGGTTCAGGTTTAGTATTTAGGGCCCCCTTCCACATGCGAAAGTAGGGCTTGCCTTGCCAGGCTCTGCGACTGCGACACCCAGCACTAACTGACAGATGTCTTCCCAAGTCTCCATTCACGGGAGCATCTTTCGTGTTTCCATGCTTGCGGCGCAGGACATCACCCCATGCACTCAGAGATCAGCTCAGAGGGACGGTTAAAGGCGCGAGCATGAAAACTTGCAAACAAAGTCAAGACGACTTTTCAATCTTGCTGGCTCACTTGGGCACCTTTCGGCAAGTCAACACCACGTGACTAGTCTAGACTCTATAGACTCTAGCGCACAAACGATATAAAGACACTATCCAAAAGGAACCCACGTGAGTGGACACTGCCCAAACCGGACTGGCGTCTTTCAGCAAGAGAAGTCACGAGCCACGTAGCGACTTGGTGGCCACATGACTGACGGACTGACGGATAGATTCTGGGCAGGATCTGTGTCCACACAAACCCGCTAGCTCCAGCTTACGCGAGGCTGGGCACGCGCAGTGGGATCTCTTGTACACCCATGACGGCAGCGTAACAAACGAGAATGAGAATGCACGTTACCGTTACTTGAACACAAAAATGGCCATACTTTCTAGGAAGCTGGAGTTTGGAGATTTGGTAGATGTTGCGAACTCGAAGACTTGCGGAAGCCAGGATAAATCCAAGACTGGGGGGGGGGGGGGGGGGGNNGGTTGTTTGGGTGTTTTGGAAACTGTCGAAGTTTTGGATTATTGATGTTTTTGGGCATTATGGCATTTGGGAGCTCTTTGGAGATTCGACCTGTGATTTTCTGGCTTGTGAAGGCTGGATCCGACCCTCACCGCCTCTCTACAAACCATGCTCGGGTCTGCCGCGAGGAATGCATGTATGTACGTAGGTTTGCGCATGTAAGGCATGCACGCACATTCACTTGCACTTCCGAGCCCTGCACCAGCACTTACTCTTTCTATGCAAATGCCAAGGGCAGGAACTTAGAACTAGAGCCTGTCGACGACAAGGTCTCATTTTCTATTCATTCGACACATCAAGACTAGCTGACTCACTTGAATGCAACTAACTACAGCACATTCAATCCTGCACCTACATGTCCTCAGAAACCAGACATCTGCGGCACCTTCCCACGTAAGCCGAAAGCAGCAAAACATTCTTCAGTAGAACCGTGAAACTGGCTGTTGGCCTTAATGGATCGCGACAGTAAGACTGTCCAGTCCGCAGGTTGCCCTCTCGCATAGGCAATGTCCTTTCGACACATCTCCCTCGTTGCAAGTCTCTATGTCTTCGTGAGGACTCTCAATACAGTGCTGGCACCCTGATAGCTTCGTCCCCTCATTTAAATCATGCCTTTCCGGAAACGCAGTGGCTTGCGCTCTGAGCACTGCCTGATCTACACTAAGCCCACTAAGCATGCCTAACTCGTGAATGGCAGCGTGGTTTGCAAGCCGGAAAGCGGCTGCAGAGCACCAGAGCGCGGGCATGTTTGCCACGGGACCTTCACAGCCAGAAAGACTGCTTCCCGCAACCTCCGAAACCTGGCTGCACATCGGGTGGCAACATTGGACATGGCGTCCTGGGAACACTCGGCAACTGCCTCGCCTGCTCCGCAGGTTTGTCCGAGACTTGGGGATCAGACACACTCGAGGCATGTTGCTCGTTGGCATTCACATCGAACTGGTCTTGGTCTTCGTCACCTTCGCCTTCGTCACCGTGGTCCTTCAAGGCATTCTCCCTGCGCTTACGCCTGCGGGCTGCCTGCTGCAGCTCCCTCCTCCTGGCTTTAGCTTCCTTTGCATTGCAGAAGTGACAATGCATGCATTGCGCACCCTTAAAACAGCCTGCTGGTTTGAGGGCATAGGCCACGCAAGGATAACACTTACCAGCAAGGTGGAGCTGCAGCATGTCTGGAGGTTCTGCGGCACATTTTGCGATCGGAGTGGCGCTTGGCATGCCTGATTTGGGAGGAATCGGAATCTTCATAGAGTGACCCATCTGACCCAGATTCTGGCTGATGGATGGGCCGGCGGAAGAACTGGGCCTGGAAGTAGCCACGTAACCTCCGTGTCCGATCCCAAGAGAGCTTCTTGGCAAGGCTCCAGGATTGCTGCTTTCTCCTGCCATGAAGGGGCTCGGCATGCCGCGCCCTCGTGCCATGCTATGCTTCGGTCTCGAGATAGCCGGCAACTATCTTACGTAGCTCTTCAATAGGAAGGTCCGGCGGCAATACCTCGTTCGAGCTGAAAGAGTCGCAGAGACAGCTGTGTCTTGCATGGTTCGCTGCGACAACTCGGCAAATACGACTAACTGACGTGGAATCCTAGCGGGCAAAGCAGTGCACGCAAGAAAAGCGAATGCTGAACGAAACAATCGGATGTGCTAAACCATTCTACATGGACAGCTTGCCAGTCTGTGCCAGCAAAGTGTTTCATCCACAAAGATCTAGTTCCGCCTCCTACCGCGGCATGCATTCGTATGCTACCTAACGGAACCTCAACTTGCCTGCATCTCCTGGCGGAACCAAGGCCATCTCCACTTCGACGTGGATCTGCAAGCTACAGGAGCACAAGACTCTTCAAATGCTCTTGATTGCGAAAACATGCAGCGGCTGGGTTCGGCTACTCGGCTAAGACCAGTACTTATACAGAACCGATACTGGCACTGGCACTAGCATTAGTAGCAGCAGTACTTGCGGTGACCATATTCGGTTGAAGTAGCATCTGAAGTAGAAGTCGTAGTAGCCGGCGTCGTGGTGGTGGTCGTCGTCGTCGTGGTGGCGGTGGTGGTCGTCGTCGTCGTGGTGGCGGTGGTGGTCAACGTGGCAGTGGTAATGGTAGGGTTGGTATTGATGGTCGTGGCGCGGTCGGGGTCAGGGTCTGGGTGTGGGTGGGGGTCGGTGGGGCGGCGAATGTGGCGACAGCGTTGGTAGCGGTGGTAGGGGGTAGTAGTCGTAGTTGTCGTAGTATCCGGCGTGGTGGTGGTGGTGGTGGTGGTGGTGGTGGTGCTGGTGCTGGTGCTGGTGCTGGTGTTGGTGCTGGTGCTGGTGGTGCTGGTGGTGGTGCTGGTGGTGCTGGTGCTGGTGGTGGTGGGTGGG